ATTATTATTATTATTATTATTATTATTATTATTATTATTATTATTATTATTATTATTATTATTATTATTATTATTATTATTATTATTATTATTATTATTATTATTATTATTATTATTATTATTATTATTATTATTATTATTATTATTATTATTATTATTATTATTATTATTATTATTATTATTATTATTATTATTATTATTATTATTATTATTATTATTATTATTATTATTATTATTATTATTATTATTATTATTATTATTATTATTATTATTATTATTATTATTATTATTATTATTATTATTATTATTATTATTATTATTATTATTATTATTATTATTATTATTATTATTATTATTATTATTATTATTATTATTATTATTATTATTATTATTATTATTATTATTATTATTATTATTATTATTATTATTATTATTATTATTATTATTATTATTATTATTATTATTATTATTATTATTATTATTATTGTTATAATTTTTATTGTACTACTACTACTCTTATTATTATTGATATTATCATCATTATTACTACTTCTACTACTACAACTACCTCCTCTTCCTCCGTTACCACCACCACCACCACTATTATTGTTACTATTACTGTAGCTACTATCATTATCAATATGATCGCTATAATCTTCATCTTTATCATTACTATTTCATTACCATCATTATTATCATGATCATGATAATCGTCGTCGCATTCAATCCTTATCATGACAATTCATCACCGTTCTCTGCCTCCTTGCCTAACCCCTTCCCTCCCGCAGGCGCCGTGGGCGGAGGCAGCAGCCGCGCCGGGCCGCCCTCCACCAGCGACCGCCTCAGCCACCGCACCGACAAGTCATGGCGGACGCACCGAGACTCGCGGGACTCTGGCCAGCCCAACCTGGTGCCCTACCACGGGGGCTACCACCACAGCCCTGGCACGCAGTACTCCAGCGGGCCGCCCGGGCACTACCCGCCCTCACGCCCGTCCTACTCGAGCGGGCGCCCCCCCTCGCGGCCGCACTCGCCCTCGGGCACCACCTCCTCGTCCTCTTCTTCCTCGTCGACGTCCACTGAAGAAGAGAGCGAGCGGGCTGCAGGCCACGGGATTCCCGATGGCGCTATGCCGCCGATGCCACATCCGATCTATGGGTATGGCGGGTACTACCCCGGCTACCACCCTGGTCCTCCAGGACCTCCCGGCCCCCCAGGCCCGCCTGGAGCCCACGGCTACCCCGGCACTCTGAAGTCCGCGCGCTCAGTGCCTGCCTTGGCCATGGCCACCTGGGACGGCGAACCCTGCCCCGTCCATGGCGGCCCCCTCTCCTTCCCTGGCCCCATGCCGCCCCCTGGCTACCCGCCCATGATGCCCCCGGGCCCCCTCTCGCTGCCCCCGCCCCCTGGCATGACGCGCCGCGTGAACTCCATCTACGACATGCGCATTACGTCGCCGCCGCCGGGGCCCATCTACGGCACACTGCCCGCTAGGACACTGCCTGCCGACCGCAGGAGCATAGCCGGCTCCACCATCCTAGGGCCTGCTGCCCCCGGCGCCCCCCCTGGCATACCGACTCATCTTCTGCCACCCATGGCCCGCCCACGCCCCTTGGTTGTTGATGAGAAGGGCAACCCCGAGCCCCTGCCGGTGAGGCATATCTCTGAAAAGAACGGATCTCTACCCCCTGGCGTGTCGGCCAAGGTGGCGGCTTCCGTCCACTCGGAGGAGGAGAAGAACACGAAGGGCGTGTGCTGCCGTGGAGGAGCCTGCGTGGCCTGGGTCATTCTCGCCGTGGTGTGCCTGGGCATTCTCCTGGCGGTCATGCTGAGGTTCATCTTATAAAACTGTTTCAGACGAGGGGTCGAGGGTGCGTCAAGATCCCATTGCAGTAGTTCACAAGCTGACGATTCCGCACCAAGAAACGCATGGTGCTTCACGGGGGAGGGTCCTGAAGTGGGAGGGTAATATCTAGTGTAAGAAAGTACTAAGGCCCCAGAGCCGTTAATGTTTATGTACCATAACTGTATCATACACAACAGGTCAGGCTTGAAACGCACCTAAGACACGTAGAAATCAGGCATGGGAGATCATTGAAATTTTGCAAGTACAAAAGACCTTTGATTATATTTCCTCTGCCTCCATCCAATAATTCATATATATTGTCATTATGAAGGTGCTAATCTTTAGATGACTGTACAGATTGTGTAATTCTAATTGTAATTCTGATGCCTGCAGAGATGTATGACTCTCATGCACGTTTCCTCTCTGCTATTGATTTGAGAATTGAAGAGCAAAACTAAATTTGCTCTGGTCTATAGGTAAAGTGTTACCCTTTGTAAGATAATTTTTCTATTCTGTGATAAATCACTTATCTTTTATCTATTATTATTGCTTCTGTTAATAACAATAATTCCAATGACAATTATGATAATGATAATAATCATCATCATCATTATGGTAATACTAATAAATCCGCCCATGATGCCCCCGGCCCCCTCTCGCTGCCCCCGCCCCCTGGCATGACGCGCCGCGTGAACTCCATCTACGACATGCGCATTACGTCGCCGCCGCCGGGGCCCATCTACGGCACACTGCCCGCTAGGACACTGCCTGCCGACCGCAGGAGCATAGCCGGCTCCACCATCCTAGGGCCTGCTGCCCCCGGCGCCCCCCCTGGCATACCGACTCATCTTCTGCCACCCATGGCCCGCCCACGCCCCTTGGTTGTTGATGAGAAGGGCAACCCCGAGCCCCTGCCGGTGAGGCATATCTCTGAAAAGAACGGATCTCTACCCCCTGGCGTGTCGGCCAAGGTGGCGGCTTCCGTCCACTCGGAGGAGGAGAAGAACACGAAGGGCGTGTGCTGCCGTGGAGGAGCCTGCGTGGCCTGGGTCATTCTCGCCGTGGTGTGCCTGGGCATTCTCCTGGCGGTCATGCTGAGGTTCATCTTATAAAACTGTTTCAGACGAGGGGTCGAGGGTGCGTCAAGATCCCATTGCAATAGTTCACAAGCTGACGATTCCGCACCAAGAAACGCATGGTGCTTCACGGGGGAGGGTCCTGAAGTGGGAGGGTAATATCTAGTGTAAGAAAGTACTAAGGCCCCAGAGCCGTTAATGTTTATGTACCATAACTGTATCATACACAACAGGTCAGGCTTGAAACGCACCTAAGACACGTAGAAATCAGGCATGGGAGATCATTGAAATTTTGCAAGTACAAAAGACCTTTGATTATATTTCCTCTGCCTCCATCCAATAATTCATATATATTGTCATTATGAAGGTGCTAATCTTTAGATGACTGTACAGATTGTGTAATTCTAATTGTAATTCTGATGCCTGCAGAGATGTATGACTCTCATGCACGTTTCCTCTCTGCTATTGATTTGAGAATTGAAGAGCAAAACTAAATTTGCTCTGGTCTATAGGTAAAGTGTTACCCTTTGTAAGATAATTTTTGTATTACTCTCTGACATTCCCTGTCAACAATCACGTTTTGTATTTTGTATAAATCTTGATGAATGCATTATTAACATATATGTAAAATGTACATACATGGTTCAACGTCCTACACAGTACACCATAGCTATCCTAGTTCTGCACACTTGCAGGAATTTTGTAAATATTTTATTTTGTATTGTGGCATTACAGGTTATGTATTAATGTTTTTCTATCTAAGGTGCTGGGAACTTAATAATATGTAAGACGCTGTACATATATCGGGAAAAAAAACATTAAAAAGTATTTATGTATTATCTTCTTCATTATACCTCTGTTACATACTGTACCTATTTGTGAATTGTAACTTGTCCCAAGCGCAATATTATTAGCATTTATTTATCCTTATCACTTTATTCGTCATTATTCATTAGTTTGTCCAAGTTAGGTTTGCTTATCATCATCTTAATAATAATTATAATGATGGTAATAGCAATAACAATGATAACGATAATCATAACTATTATTATTACTATTATTACCATTATTATTATTATCATTATCATTATTGTCATTACTATCATTATATTATTATTATTATTATTATTATTATCATCATCATTATCATTTATATTACAATTATCAATGATATGGTAATTGTTGTTTTTGTAAATTATTATCATATGTTATTACTATATACCATTATTATTATTGTCATTATAATAATTATCATCATTAATATAATCATCATTATTATTAATGTTATGATCATTATTCTTGAGGGAATTTCATACACCAAAATAAGTTCAAAATAAATTTCATACACCAAAATAACAATCTGCTCAGTTATATTAAGACAAAAAAGCGCTTTCTAAGAAAAAATACCAATTTTTATAATCAGCTACATTTATGTGACTAAGATTTCGAATTATAACAAGAACTCTATAGTGCTACTGATTTATATATATATATATATATATATATATATATATATATATATATATATATATATATATATATATATATAATTCTGCTCCATAATTACGTTATAAAAGAAAATCTCTATTACTACCACAATAGCTTCAGACTTCCATATATTCATATTTACATATAAGAAATCAATACTATATGTATGTGTGTATACACACATATTTGCGTGTGTGTGTGTGTGTGTGTGTGTGTGTGTGTGTGTGTGTGAGTGTGTGTGTGTGTGTAGGCGCGCGCGCGCGTGTGTGCACACACGCACACACACACACATATATATTTATATATACATATATACATACACACACGCACACACACACACACACACACATATATACATATATATATATATATATATATATATATATATATATATATATATATATATGTGTGTGTGTGTGTGTGTGTGTGTATGTGTGTGTGTGTGTGTGTGTGTGTGTGTGTGTGTGTGTGTGTGTGTGTGTGTGTGTGTGTGTGTGTGTGTGTGTGTGTATATATGCAAATACACACACATATATGTATGTACGCATATATTAATTTCTAAATATATATATATATATATATATATATATATATATATATATATATATATATGTATATATATATATGTATATACATATATATATGTGTGTGTGTGTGTGTGTGTGTGTGTGTGTGTGTGTGTGTGTGTGTGTGTGTGTGTGTGTGTGTGTGTGTGTGTGTGTGTGTGTGTGTGTGCGTGCGTGTGTGTGTGTGTTCAGTAATACAGTAATTCATGTTCTGTGTAAAATTGCAACTGCTAATTATTTACTTATATTTTATTCAGGGAATTGATACTATGTCATTCTGCCTTTCTATTTAACTCTGCTTGATAGTGAGGAAATCCAAAAAATGTTTCCCCTGAAATATCTTATTTTCTATGAAGATAATAGAACGTTCTCGTTTTCTTGTAAGTCTATGGTGTATGGATAAACAATTTTAATTGTGTCAATCTTAATTACGGACGCTAAATGACAATAAACAAACAAACGAAAACAAAAAAAAAAGGATTATTGGAAATGACGACTAACACACATACAGAATTTGAGCTTACCAAGTTGTAATTCTTTAACTTTTCTTCTATATCATTTTCTTATCAAATTGATAATAACGGTAATAAAGGTGTAAAACCCAGGAAACGCAGCAATCTTACACCTCCAGCGCCGCGACAAAATGACTCATTGAAAGCGACGGAAAGTCAGACGGACGACTAGCGCACGACGTAAGCGAGGGAAATCAAATGAGGCAATTAGATTTGCACAGAACGTGACGTGATCATAAGCAGTAACATCCAGCACAAGAGAAGCAATCAGATATGAAATAGATCATCAGGTGACAATGGAAGCTGGGGCTAGAAGGCAGCAGTTGAAATTATATCAGTTCCACCGTGGCTAAGCTGTTTGCCGAGTGTGATAACATCTATGTTGATTTCATAGCAAAATATCTGCGAAATAACGTTTATTATACCCGCGAAATCTCGCAGTGCCCGAACTATAAGACACCGTGACATAACAGAAAAGACAAACATCGGTCCACCATCGGTTCTTCGTCGAGCCCGCGAAACTGAACCTTCGGCTTATTATGCCATTATTATGCGAATTATGCCCTCCCACATTCGTTCGAAACACAACTACTATTGGAACTTTTGGGAAAACATGTGGGTCATCGGCAAATCGGTGTTAGGCGTCATTTCCAAATTTACACCAAAATAACAATTTGATGATTAATACTGTCTGCAATAACGAGATCGAGAACTCACAATTGTTGATTTTTTTAAGCCAGTTATCAAGAACTACCTATTTCACCTGTTTACCCTTTTCCTTCACTTTAGGATTTTTTTGGGGGATCATTTCATTGTTTAAAAATATTCTAATGACAATTAAATAATCATAACATCAATAACATTAATAACAGTATCGATAGCAATCGTATTAATTTTCCCGCGAATTCAATAAATGGGAAAATCAGGGTCGGTAACTAGGGCCTACTGATAGACTCCTTGCCGGCTAAGCACACGTGGAGCCATCTGTAGGTAACAAAATTCACCAAAACCTACAGTGGACAGAACATAAATCCGAGGCGAATGGGTTAAAAGCTGTTTTGGCATATGCGCCAACTGGTGGGCTGGCCGAATCATTGGTTGTTTTATTATATTAATTAATAGGTAAATAGATAAAAACGTATACATCACTAATGCAAGGAAAAGAATAAAAATCAAAAGACAATTGACACAAAAAATAACTGGAAATATAATGATTTTCATGACTGAGATGAAAAAATAGATAACAGACATTCCATATCAATTGAGGACTTTTGCAGTCTTGAGTATTTTTTTCAGTCTGACATAATTCCAGAGAGCAGAAATCTAAATAAAAGGAAAGCTAATTAAATGAACAAAAATTTCTTGGATGAGCATGGGGAAAAAAATCCAGTGTTAGGTAAGAGGATTTAGTTGCAGAAAACAGTAGCTATGGATTTTTTTTTCAATTATCATTATTGTAATGATTATTATTATTTTCATTATGTGAATCACTTAAGGTGATGATCATATCATAATAACTATCATAACTAGCACATGGCCATTTCCTGTAAATATTGGTAAAGTCACACTTAATAGTTTTGGCTCCAATTCCCTTTCTTGAACATATACTGCAAAATTACTATTTGATCACACCAAAAGGTACAAAAGCACATCATAGTAAAATAGAGGATTTTTATTTTTATCTTCTAATTTTATATACATAAGAATTCAATACTCTTGAACTGTCCATAAAACAAATCTAAAACCTCACCAACATACAATTTTGAAATAGCTGAAACATTCACTACTAACTGTTTCATGCTTTCCTATGGCTATATTGTAAATGCATAGCCTATACTGTATGTATCATAAAACCATTTAGATTATAATAATGCCCTGTTATAAGTAGCCTCTTTGCTAATTTCAGGATACATTTTGAAGAATAATTAAGTGACTATTAAATCTTTCATCATTACCAGTGTATCTACGACAAAACTGGACACAATATCAAGAAACTAAACTGCAGTTTGAAGAGATATGCACGGAGTTATAATTTACTACATGAAATAAATATACATCAATAACACATCATTCCTGCCTACTGGCACAACATAGAAATATAATATCACGATATCAGTGTTGTTATAATTTGGTTTTCTGCTGGTCACTCTTCTCTGGACTCGGTGGCTGAGGCTGCTCCTCACCTTCTGCCTCTACACTGGTGTTTCCATTACCATCTGTGTTGTTGTTTGCCTCTAACTGCTGCTGCCACATGTTGCTATACACTCCACTTCTATTTATCAGATCCTCATGGCTGGAATGAAGTATTAATGATAATTCTCTCAGCTGTGATTATTAGTTATATACTTATTAGCTAGTACAAATCTATTGCATTTCTTTAATTAAGTCAATACACATGATTTTCACTTATCACTGATTTTCACTTATCTAAATTAATTCTACAACTAACCTATGATGTCAGGATGGAAAAAATACATTCCATATCTACTATGTTTTTTGTTTATAAATTGCCTGTACATCAGGATGGCACCACAAATACTTAATCACCAAAATATTTTTATTGATCATAGCTATCTCACCTGTTCACCATTTTCCTTGATTTTCAGATGCTTATTGCTATTGATAATGTTAATATTATTATAATAATCACAATGTCAACAATAATATTGATATCAACAGCATCTTCCCAAAAATGCTCAAGGAAAGAGAATATTTGCTGAGGCCACAAAGGCATCCTTTGTGGCTGTGCAATTGTGGAGCCATCTATGTGCAAACAAAGCTCACAAAAGAAAACCCTAATTAACAGTACATATATTCTGCATCAATGGGTTAAAGATTGTTCTAAACAACATATTACTGAAATGAAAAATAAGACAAAAGTTCAAGCTATACAAGTCCATCATTTGTGTACTTCATTAGAAGCAATGCAAACAGTACAATTGAATTCCAACTCACCTTCCTCGTTCTACAATCTCCCCTTCTTGCAGAACTAGAATTGTGTCAGCATGAATTACGGTGGATAGGCGATGGGCAACAATAATCACAGTTCGGTCAGTACAAACTTTTTGTATTGCAGCCTGAAAAAATTGAAAATGAGTAAGCACATGAAATTTTACATTTGTCTCAAGAATATCTCAATCCCTAAGAAAAGAGGAAATGCATCTGTCTTGGGGTCTTATAGTAACTACAAAAAAAAGAAAAATATATTATATCTATTAGTATATAGTCAGACATACATAAATTATGAACATTAG